TCCGTACAAAGCGATGCCGAAGATGGTTCCTGTGAATCGTGCCTCTGCAAGGAAACGGGTAACGTATCGTAAGGTGCCACGCAGCCACGTACGCCACCACCTAACGTAAGGTGACTCATAGGTCACTGGTTCAGATCCGGTTGAGAAGAATTTATTTCAGGGTGTGTGTGTGTGGCGAGCTGTGGTACGGCGGCGAGAGGAGACCTCGAACTCCAGAGGTGCCGATTCTAATTTCTAGCAAATTATTTTCACCGCTGTTTCCCTTGGATAAGGAATATACCCCACATGTTTCGGTGCACCCAGCGGTAAAACGGGCAACAAGTTGTTTTCGTAGGAGAACAAGGACAGCATGATGTTCTGTTATGGTCGTATCAAATTGCGAGAAATTACAGGGTTTTCCTCATAAGGCTGCAATTTACTCTAACTCACTTGATAGCTGACAATCCAATGCTACAATCGGTATGAGTTGTTGCCACTGATGGGGTTTAAGTTTAAGTCAGTCCAGGTTCAAACCATTTGAGATCGACGGTGTTTGCAAATATTCGTTCGTGAGAGGGCGGCAAGCGATTAAGAACCTGGGCATTACCGCCAATAAGCTCCTTGCACAATTCGTTGAATTGTGAGAAACCTGTTCACCTCGCGGTGTGCACTCAGACCATACGACACGGCTGCTGGCAGACAGGCAAGCGAGAAGGTATTATCCGTGAACCGATCAACGAAACAACACTCACTCTCGTCCTTCATCGGTAGCCTAGTTTATTTTTTCGCCACGTTCTACCTGAGCTGTTACCTAGTTTGGCCGGCGCCTTGAATTTAATACCATACGCCGTCGACGAATGTGGGTGTGTGATGCTGGCCTGATATACGTTGTATATACAGTCGTCTGTGCTGCGGCAGCGACGGCGACGATCGTCCGTTACTGTACGCCCGTTCCGGTACAGCGGATCGACCTTCCGCCTGTCCTTCGGTGTCCCGACCGACTGGACGACGGTCATCGAATGACCGGCCTCCGCGATGTCTCCGCGCTTTGCCAATCTCGATCTTTAGTGAACCACTTTTTACACCGCACGTGGTCATGTGATACTTGTTTTTTCTTTCAGAGCCAATCGCTTGAACGTCTTCGGTCATTTTGCACCACTTTCGGCCAAGCATAATCCGTCGTACTGATTGATAATAGACCGACCCAACGTGACTGACCGCCGATAGCCATGAAGCAGACGTACAGTTCAAGGAAATGGAAAACGGTAAGTTTGTTCTTTTGGTGTTAGTGGCCGTGATTCATCGGTTGTTGGAGACTCGGCTCTATTTTCTCTGCGTCTGCAACACAAAGGGCCAAGATCTCAAAGGGCTAATCTTTATTAGGATGGTCTCTCAGAGGGTAAGGTCCACATATTCTGCCGCAGGTGAAGCTTTGTCACGAGTTGCCGGATGTGCGGCACAGTTTGGAAACATCCTGCATTATCCTCGACTGAAGCGTCTATCGTTGTATGATCGCTAGCTCGTTGTACAGCGGTAATGACAACCGCGACGACAAACACTAGATGACCAAATGACGTGTCGTACTTAAACGCCAGATTTTATTTTCCTAATCTGATGCTCAGGCAAATAAGGACAGACACATATTGGTAGACGCATTGTCAGTCGAAATGTCCCGTTTTTTCGACAGCGCCTTGACACGTTCACGCTTGCTGCGTCGGTTGCTGGTGAATTCGGTGCGGAGGCAAAAACACTGCGGTATAGCCCTATTCACTGGCAAGCATACACTGCTTGATTTATACAGCGAAGTTGTTAAACGCTACTGAGAAAGCCGAACAGTATTGTTCGCTCACATTAGAATGACATTAGATAAATAAGAGTTTGACGTTAATCATTTTCACTATTAATTAGATTGGGCAGTTCCGAAACATGGAGTATTTTTGCTAAGAACTCATTTTTGAAGTGAACTCCATTCATGGGGCTACGCGTATTACTCATTTATTATTCCTAATTATAATAACTACGGTAGTTGTTCATTCGATGGAACGTAGAACTAAGAATCCAAGGGTCCTGCGTGTGAGTCACGGTTCTTGTTCAGTTCCCGAGTCACTCCATTTCTTCCTTCCTTTGTGGAACAACGAACTCCACTTTGTGGGGCAAGAAACGAAAGACTACATGCTTTAGCAGTCACTTAGCTGTATGAATAGCTTTGGAAACAAAACCGGAAATAGACCTTTGCCTGATGAGGCAGACGGAGATTCGCGCTGCCGCATGTGGACCATGAAAGAAAAACGTTACTTTATAGCGATCAGTCGTCAAGGTTTAAGATTGACCAACATTCAAACGGTTAGAAACATATCTTCTTCCTTCATTATACTAATAGTGCTCCTTAATACTGTTCCATAAGCCATGAAAGTACTAATGTAACTTCTACTTACTTTACTTCTTGCGGCATAGCAGAGCTTATATGCTTAAAAGGTGAATACGTAATATGTATAGCGAAGGAGGGCTCAGACTGTAGCTAAGCGCATTGCTCGGAATGTCAGTAAAAGCAACATTTTTGAGGATTCCCTTATCAATGGCAAACAGATAACTCTACCCTAAAACCGGGGTTATTCCTCAGTAGGGCGTCAGACCCAAAAACGAAAGGTCGCCGGTCCGATCCTCGGTTAGTTATGTGGCTTTCTTCCTTCTATAGTTGATTGAGAATGACAGCTTTATGGAAGGGAAACAGAATACTACGGGCTAGAGTGGTCGCCATTCGCAGTGCCCATTCGTGAAAGTGCGAGCATGGCCGTTTTCCGAGAGCAAAAAACTTTCTTTTCCCTTTTTCCGTAAAGCGCTTAACTCTGCCAAACAGCGGATTTAACGACTGCTGCCACCTCTCAAGACTTTACTTGCCTCAGTGGCGAAATACCGAAGTGTAGTGGCTAACTTAGATGCCCATTATGCAACCAGGTGCAAAGGATTGCAACATTAAACCGTCAAATCCATTGGTACAAGGAGGCTGGTATAAAGCGATACATTATTATCAGTCATCTACTTAGCATGAGCAGAAGCGCACAACTCAATCCTTATTAATAGTAGTCACATTTAATTTAGTAAAAGCTGCGACGTGACCCCAGTATACTTCAAGGTTAGACAGTACATGTGATCCATGTTATGTACATATTAAGAGGAAAATCAGACTGAGGAAGCGAGAGAAGGATAAACAGAAACAGGTGATGAAGCAAAATAAACAAGATGATGGTTCAGCTGCGACTTTCCCTTAACAGTTTCTCATTCTTCCCACGTGTCTGTCTACGTTTTTTTTCGCTTGACCATATGTCTTGTGCTGAGTGCAGAGAAACATGCCAATGGCGCATGGATTTCGTTTCAGCTCATTTTACTTTATATGACCACTTCTCCTTGCAAGATGACAGACAGGTCAAACAGTGATAATAACGATTTCGATCCTGTGCTTCGGTAAAATACAACCGGAGTCAAGAGAAGACTCCTCCAATTCACTCGCACCAGCTTAAGCTTGACCGTCCTGTGGGCCTTCCGTCGGTTAGATGGGCAAGCAGCATTTGCTTCGCCTTCCTTTCTGGAGGCATTCGCAACACATGTCCCAACCATCCAGCCATGAAATCTCAAATCTCGTACCTAAGCCCTCTTGAATTACTCTACTCCGGACCCAGTCGAGATGTCTAAGGTCAGCAAATTGTCTCAGGAAGGCCACTTTAACCGTTGGTATCTTGGATCAAAGTTTCTCAGTCAGAGTTCATGATTCATGACCGTCGGTAAGCATGGGGACAAAAAATGTCCTGAATACCGAGAGCTTAGTCTTCAGACTCAGCTCTGTTTTAAGTAACAATGGTTTAGGCTAATTCACCGGTTACCGCAATCCGCCGGTCGATCTTTTCCTCAAATTTTCCATCACTAGTAAACACGATTTCGAGGTACTTGAACTTTTCCACCTCCTAAACTGCCTGTCCGTTAATCTGAAGAAAGCAACTGCAGGAGAACGATAAAACACTAGGCTTCCCGTTTTATATACGTTCACACGCGTGCCGGTCACGTCACACACGGCTGCGAACCTTGCTAGGGAGCACTGTAGACCAGTTTCATAAGATGACAGCAAAATATGGTCCTCTGCAAACAGCAGCCTTCTCGTCTCGATATCTCCTGCGCTGATACTTTCATCGCCCTGGCATTGCCTGATTATACCATCCATGAACAACCAAACAGGAAAAAGGACAACACCCACCCTTGGTGGAAATCAGTGCCAACGTTGAAGAGTTTCAACTTAATGCCATTTACTCTGACGCAGCACCTGCTCTCAGAATATAGTGATTGGCTGGCCCTTAGCAACTGGCCCTCTATCCCATATGCTCGAAGGCATG